CACGCACCCCTGCCCGCCTACCACTACCCCTCCTTCCCCAACCGCACCATCAAGTCCGAGTACCCCGACCACTACACAGCCACCCACGAGGCCGTGCCCGCCTACATGTACCCAGAGACCTACCCCAGCAGCTCGCCCCCCGACATCCCCGAGCTCATCCTGAAGCTGCTGCAGCTGGAGCCCGACGAGGCCCAGGTGAAGGCACGGATACTGTCCTGCCTGCAGCAGGAGCAGGGCAAGGGCCGGCACGAGAAGCTCAGCACCTTCGGCCTCATGTGCAAGATGGCCGACCAGACCCTCTTCTCCATCGTGGAGTGGGCACGGAGCTGCATCTTCTTCAAGGAGCTGGAGGTAGGAGCTGCCAGTGGGACAGACGCTGCTCTGGGGGGAAAATGGGGCAGGATTGAGGCTGCTGTGATGTGAGGATGGGATGTGGCTGTGGGCAGGATCGAGGTGAAATGTTGTGAGGACGGAGAAACACCAGTGGGCACAGGCCTGGGGCCATCACTGCAGATCTGCTGGCACATGCCAGTCCTGCTCCCAGCTCCTGCAGGGCTGGAGGTGCCAGGGCCAGGCTGTGATTCCCACTCTGTGTGGGGCTGATGATTCAGATTCATCACAGCAGGGGCAGCTGTTGAGGCAATTGCCGGCAGAGTGACTGTGGTGTCAAGCTCAAGACATAATTGAAAAATGTAACGTTGAGGAATTATAGTTGAGACAATTCTCTCCCCTGCCTTTAGGAGGAAAATCGATGTGGTCAGGTGGGCGCTATTAGCACCAGGCAGCAGGGGCAGCCCGAGCCTGCTCCAGAGCCGTGTCTGCTGCCAGCAGCCCATGAGTGTGCCCGGCTGGGGGACATGGAGTGACCTCCATCCTGCCAAGGCATCCCCTCTAGCAAATGTCCCTGAACATTTACTGCAGCCAGGGAAGGGTTAGCAGGGCTGGAGCAGCTTCTGCCGTCCTGCACACCTTGACAAGCTTTTGGAAATTTTCCATTCATGTTCTGGGCTGACTTAAGATCCCAAAGTAGTGCAAAAATAGGAGAGAAATTTTTGCAACATGGCCAAAATCCAGAGCAACATCCTGGGGCAGCTGTGATGAGACTCAGGTGCTTTCTTGTGTTTCCAGCATGAGATTGTACTACCTGGCTCTGGCCAAAATCACCTTCTTCCAGTGGGACTGTGCTGTAGGACAGGACCAGGCTCTTCCCTGTGCCCAACAATGGGTGCCATGGGGCTGAGTGTGGCCGAGCCTCGTGGCTCAAAACAGCCCCCATCGTTCAGAACAGTGTCAGGAAATGGCATTGTGGGGGTGGGTTGGGCTTGTTTCAATCATATCAGTGTCCAGCCTGGATTTTGGGAACAGGGTGGTTGTTGTTTTGCAGGAGATATTGTAAACAGTGCAAATTCAGTTCCCAGCTGTATAGCTGTGTAGCCTTGTAGCTCCATTGTCAGCATGATTGTGCCACCAAAATAGGCTGTTCCTGTGTGAATCGGTGTTGGCGGGTGCTCCTCCTGCCGTGGGACTCTGGGGGGATGGCAGTGCCTCAAGCCTCACCTGGGCACAGCTACCAATGTCCTGCTGGGAGCAGGGCACGTGCCCTGCCATGCTCAGGACAGGGGGTTTGGTGCTCGGCGGGTGCCCACATCCTTCACTGCCATCCTGGGGGCTCAAGTTTTGCCTTATCCACATGGTGATTGTGGGGTGCATTTCCAGCACCTCCCAGGGCTGGGGACTGCAGGACCCACAGCCCACCCTGGCTCCAGTGCAGAGGGGGAATGAGGCTTGGCTGTCCTTGGCTCCCTCCTGTGCACAGAGCCCCGGGCAGCGCCGAGCCCAGCACAGAGCAGCCCTGGTATCCTCAGTGCCCCCACCTGGGGCTGCTCCTGCCCACCCCACACAGCTCATCCTCCCTGGCCAGGGCAGAGGCTTTTCCTCAGGCATGGGAGAGCAGCCAGCGGGAAGCAGGAGCAGCTCTGAGAACCTGAATCCCCACACCTGCTCCTGCCTGGCGCATAAAGCCGGCGGCGCCGGGGCGGTAAATGAACTCCTGCTAGCGCAGGGTTTATGGCTCTGCCCTAAAGCCAGCACGGAGCAACATCGCAATCTCCGGGATCGATGGCATGGCAGTCCCTGCTGGGGGCTCGGGGCTCTGAAGGCAGGGCTGCAGCAGCCCTCTCCATGCCCTGGGAAGCTCTGTGTGAAGGTGACAGTCCCCAGCCCCAGCAGGGAAGGGCTGGCCGAGGCCAGAGCAGGGATCCAGGCTGGAAAGGCACCGTGCTGGGACACCTCTCCAGGGCATCGTGCCAGGCTGGCACTACATGGGAGGAGGTGCAGGCAGGTGAGAAGGGGGGGTGTGGGCAGATTGCCCCATCACGGATTGCCCTGCCTGAACTTGCCCAGCACTGCTGTGCTCCTTCCTCAGGGCTGTTAGCAGAGACCTGGCTTCTTCTTGGGGCTTCACAGGGAGTCTGGACAGGACGGAGCAAATCTTCAGGGGCATGGGGAGCTGCTGGCTCACACCTGGTTAGGATGAGCCTTTGGTGCCTGCCCAGGGAGACTGGGAGCAGTTTCCCCTGGAGCTAGCCAGTCTTGTTCCCATTCCCATTCCCACCCTAGCAATCTGCTGAGGGCAGAATGGGTGTTTTGCTCTGCTGTCTCCACACTCCTGGCGTGGTGGCTGGGCTGGGAGACATCGGGAGAGCCCCCCTGGCTCCAGCACTGCACCCAGGGAAGGAGGGGGGCCACGGGCTAATGGCCTCTTGACATCGGCTCGCACGCCACGTCCGCCCGCAGGCGCGGGGCAGTCAGATTGAAAACAGATTTAACTTCCCAGATATATCGTTTCATTTAAGGGCCAGTAATTCTGTCAGTCTGCCACTGACAAACGAGGGTCCCCATGCCAATCCGCCGGGAGACTGATGTCGCGGCGCTCATCCCGTGTCACCAGGAGGAGAATTACGGACTGCGCTGGCCTTCGGAGGCAAGACTAATAACGCTGCTGGGCAGAGGGGATTTGGGGGCCCGCCTGCTCATCGAGGGCCGGCCAGAGCCGCGGCGCGAGGCCGCGCGGGCGGAGGGGGAAGAGGTCAGCGCTGACGCCCATAAATACGAACTTTAACTGAGTCTAGATGAGATGTGTCAGGACTGAGGGAAGATTTGCAGCATCTTTTCAGGAAGAAAAATATAGGCCGGGGGTGAAATATATTTTGTTGGGTTGTGAGTCTCAGGCAACTTTGTCCTTTCAGATGTAATTTTTTTATATGTATATGGAGAGACAGACAGAGGGATGTGCACGCACGCAGGCGCTTTTGCACACTCACATTGTGTCTGGTTTTGGTGAGGTTTATACACACGAGTCTTGCACAGCCTGGTTTATATAGGTGTCACTGCCATACCTACATATCAATATCGTGAGCACAGGGTTGCAGTGACCTTTAGATTGGGATGAGCAGCCAGGAATGTTAAACAAATTGCCACGGTTCCAGCCCGAAGGCCAGGCTGGGCTGGGTGTGCAGTGGGTCCCTGCAGCACTGGAGGGGCACAGCACAGCTGCAGGGTGCTGGGATGGTGCCGACCCCTTGCTCAGCCCTTTTGTGCCAAGGGCCTGGGGCAAACCACCCTCCATGCACAGGCAAGCTCCAGGGATGGGGGCATGCTGAGGGCAGCACTGTTCCCACAGACCCAGGGGTCCCTGAGGTCACTGGGTCTGTCTGCTGGGCTGCCCTCCCTCAGCTGTGCTCAGAGATCTCAGAGCCACACAAAGCCTATTTGCAGTCAATTGCTCCTCTGCCTTTAACATGTGGGTCATCTTGACCCCATCTCCTGGCCGATGGCCAGAGCGTTTTTGGCAGATTTAAAATCTCCTTCTGGTGGTGGATGCTGCAGTAATGTTTAGCATCCCGTGCACTGGGGGAAATGTGACGTTGCCCTGCCTGCAGAGCCGAGGTGCCCGTGCAGCCAGGGCTGCAGCAGCCTGGGAGCCAGCAGGGAGATGGGATCCTGGCCTAGCCACACTGGTGTGGGTGGGAATTTGTTTTAGGATGCACATCGTGGTGGTGTCTGGGCAGGGCAATGGGGACCTGCACTGACCATTAACACCTTGGATGTGTGTGGGTTTGCCATTGTGGGTGGCTGGTGGACACCAATCCCCTTCCACACTTCTCAGTAGCCAAGGTGATGGCTCCTGCTTGCACTCAGGAACTGCTGGGGCTGCCTGGGGTGCTGGCATGTGCCACACACCTGCCAGAGGGCTGTGGGGCAAATCCTGGGATCTGGGAGGAGGCCTGGAGGGCACCTGTGTGATGGGGACAGGTCAGGGGCATCCGAGTATTGCTTGGGCCCGTGGCTGGGGATGGATGTCCTGGCACCAGCTCAGGGCTTCCTGCCAAAGCAGGGCTGCTGGTGGGCCACTCTCCTTCCCAAAGCAGTGGTACCCAGGGTGGGGCTGTCCTGAACCAGCCGTGCAGGAAGCACTGAGGGACTGCACCATCCCTGCCTGGCCTGGGCACACTCTGGGAGCCCCAACACTCACAGGGGCTCCCTCACTTGTACCTATGAACCCACAGGGAAGGTTGCAGAGGATTTAAAACTACCTCCACATGCAGGTCCTGCATTCCTGTGCCTCGGCAGCACTATCCCTGCCTCTGCATGCCCTGCCTCCCCTCCAGCGCCTTTCCCACAGAGAATCGCATTTTCTGTGGGTTGCAGCCCATCAGAGATTGCTCTTCCAGGGTGGGGAGGGTTTCACCGCGTGTTTTGTGAATGGGTTAAATGCTTGCTTCAAAAAAAGATAAGGATTGCCTCTCAAAGACAGCTTGCATCAGGCCTTTGATAAAGCACTCTGATCTGAGGAAGAGCCTTGACATTAAAAGGAAGATCCTTTGCTTAACTTTGAACGGGAGCATGTGTGCGGCCGCCTCACCTTGCTGGGAGGATTGATTGCCTCTGAGTGCCCTCCATTAGCAGCCCCTGCTCCTTCAGGCCAGGCCAGCGCGGGGGGCACCCGGGACCCCCAGCCTGAGCCCCTGCAGCAGAGCCCCAGTGCCAGCAGGGCCGTGGGGGCTGCCCGCTGCCACCCAGCCTGGGCATGGCACACCGCGCTGGTGCTGGGCACAGCCCCACGGAGCCCTGCCAGCCCTGACTGGCCCACGGAGCCCCCAGCCCACCCCATCATGTCTCCAGGCACATTCCCCCATGCCATGGCCGTGTGGCTCTGGTGCACTGCGACGTTCCCAGGGAGCACCACGGCACGTTGGAGCATGCTGGCAAAGGGACAGCCCTGCAGCAGCCATGAAGGGTGAAATGTGCTGCTGAGGGGCTTCAGGCTTCAGCCAAACACTCCTCAGAGCTTGGGAGAAGCTGATTAGTAATTTTTAAAGGAAGAAAATAAGATTTTAGAATTATTGAAGTGCTTTCTTTGGAAAAGCTAACTTTTTAAAAAGGTTTTCAAGGCAAAGCTTTCTGTCTGCCTCTTCTGGAGCTCATCCCGCTCAGGAATGAGGCACAGGAAAGAACTTCCAAAACAACTCCCTGACTGAGCCAGAGCGGAGGCTGGGACTGTGCAGCTGGGCTGGCCCGAGATCTCTGCTCGGGTTAGCCACAGATCTCTGCTCGGGTTAGCTACAGATCCATGCTCTGGTTAGCCACAGATCTCTACTCGGGTTAGCCACAGATCTCTGCTCAGGCTGGCCACTGCCACAGCCAGCCACTCACCTTCTGGCAGGGGGCACCCAGGGTGCAGAAAGTCTCTACTTTGGTTTAGAACACAATGACATTTTTCCCAGGGTTTTGTCAAGCAGCTGACCAAGAACCTCACACTCTGAAGTGCTGGGCCACGAAGAGCAACTGCTGCACTGGCTGGGGGATGAGGGGCAGCCCCACAGGTGGGCAGGAGTCACTGCCTTCCCACCCCACCTCTTCCCTGCCCTGCCACACTCCCAGCTCTGGCCACCCACCACCCTTGAGAGACAAATCCTGGTGGCTCGCGGGGAGCGCCGGCTCTGAGACCATAAAGCTCTTTCTCATCTGGCTTCTATTCCTTTTGCAATCTCCCAGCGCGGGTTTATTGCAGCCTCTTCAGCAGAACGAGGGCATTATCCAGCCCTGTGATGCTGCATCTGTCTTCCCTCTATTAACAGGGGAGCACAATGGCCCTGCAGAGCTCGGCTGCTGGCACTGGATTTGCTGCTCGGGGCGGTGATGGAGGCAGTTCTGTAATCCCAACCCTTTCCCCACACTGGCCCTCAGCAGAGGGGAGTCCAGGCAGGGCAGGAGCTCAGCTCTTTGTGGGAAGGAGTTGGGGTTCAGAGGAGAGCAGTGCCGAGGGGATGAAGCCGGTGACCTGTGGTGTTTCTTGGCAGGACAGCGGGGAAGGCAGCTTGATGGCTCTGCAGCTGCTGGCTCTGGCAGCTCACCCCACCAGTCACTGCTGCTCCTGCAGTCCCTGTGACACTCTGGGGACCCTTCCAGGCAGTGTCCTGGCTCAGCCCCTCCCCGGGACAGTCTCAGGTGTTTCTCTGGGCACACACACACACACAGTGGCCCATGTGCAGCAGGGCACGTGGTCACAAGTGCGTGTGTTGGTGCGTGGGCAGGGCCGGGCTGGCAGCTGCAGGGCACAGTGATGTCCCACACCCAGCAGCTCCCCCAGCCTGCCATCCTGGCCAGGGCTCAGGATGGGCACTGCCCTCTTTCGTTTTAAAGTATCCAGAGAGGCTGTCTGGACACACAGGCCCTTTGTGCAGCCACCGCATGCCCCTCCTGCAGTCATTTTGTTAAAATTTTTGTGCAGTTTGAGGAGGTTGTGCCTGCTGGGGGAAGACCCGTGCTGATAAGAGCCAGCAAGTGCCACTGAAACATGTTGAGCTGCTTTGAAGCCAGCTCTGCAAAGCCACCTGCCCGGGGTCCCCCTTTCTGGGGTGCAGCTCCAGCTCTCCATGCTCACCCCAGGGGATGCTCCTCCCACGGGATTCCTGCCAGGCACAGGGTGGGTGCTGTGCCCTGCAGCACGGGGGGTGTCAGCTCCTGCTCTCTTTCAGGTGGGTGACCAGATGAAGCTGCTGCAGAACTGCTGGAGTGAGCTGCTGGTGTTTGACCACATCTACCGGCAGCTGCAGCACGGCAAGGAGCACAGCGTGCTGCTGGTCACTGGCCAGGAGGTGAGGAATGGCCTTGGGACTGTGGGGGTGCTGTGGAGGGGCAGTGGGGATGGGCAGGGGCTGCAGGGGGGAATGGAGTGACTTCTGTTTTTTCTTTCATCCCAGTGTGGCCAACCTGGCATAGGGCAGGCAGGGGATGTTGTTACACTCTGGGTCTGCTTGTGCAGAAGGTCCCATCCTGTCCCATCCTGCCACACAGCTCCTGGCTCTGGAGAATAATGTTTCTTAAGGAGAGACCAACAACCCCACCTGTACTGTCAGCAGTGGGGTGGGAGGAGGGGCCCCTTCCCTCCCTGGAGGTGGCTTTTGGAGATGTGGTGCCTACAATTCCAGCACCCTGTTTAAAATGGTGTTCCCATTCCACCCATCAGTCTTTTTGTGACACCCCTACTGCTCAGTCAGCGCTCAGGGCTGGATCCAGCTCCTGCCCCGTGTGAGGTGCCCTGCAGCAGGCTGTGGGGGACGGGGGCTGCCACAGCTGATGCCCCCCTGTCCCTGTCGCAGGTGGACATGTCGGCCATCGCAGCCCAGGCCGGCTCCATCCTGAACACGCTGGTGCTGCGGGCGCAGGAGCTCGTCCTGCACCTGCACTCGCTCCAGGTGGACCGGCACGAATTCGTCTGCCTCAAGTTCCTCATCCTCTTCAGCCTCGGTGAGTGCAGCAGGGGGGCACTGGGGCAGCGCTCCGGGGTCTGGCTGTGCTGCACACACGGCCCGGGCTCCGGCCGGGTGACCAAGGGGCTTTTAACGAGGAGCCGGGAGCGAGAGCTGGCTCCTGTCCGTCCCCTTCCCCTGTCCCGGGACCCAAAGCCTCTCCCTCTGCGGGGCCGGGCTCTTCTCCAGCCGCAGGGGACGTTGTCACCCCGCCTGTTTTGGTGGCTCTCCCATGGCAGGGGCAGGGAAACAAGCGCTGATACGGCTGCGGAAAACAGACGTGTTGACAGAGGCGGCCGGGCCGGGCCGGCCCTATCAGCCGGGATTTGCGTCAGAGAGCCGGGCACAGCGCGGGGCTCGGCTCTGATTAGGCTCAGCCTGGAGCCTGCGGTCGGGCACGCCGGCGCGTTCACACCTCCCACCTCAGCCAGACAAAATAACTGCAGAGCCGTGGGCACTGCTGCCGCAGCCTGAAACGGGCCCGGGGTGGCACAGCCCGCTCCTGCCCCTGGCATCCATCCCGGCGTCAGCCGAGCTCTGATGCTGGCACGGTGAGCTTGGTGGGCATGGTGGGCATGGTGGGCATGGTGAGCCCTCCGCTGTCCATGGCAGACGTGTCCCCATCCCTGTCCCCATCCCCATCCCTGTCCCAGCGCCTTGGCTCTGTGCCTGCGCTTCTGCACCTGCGGGGTCCCGGCCAGGGACCAGCGGTGGGAGCTGCGCTGCAGCCCCGTCCTGCACCTGCAGCATCTCCTCCCTCGGCTTTCCTTTCCTCTGGAGCTGTTTGGAAACCCAGAGAAGGAGAGCCGATAATTCGCTGCTCCAGCAGTGATAAGGTGTGGCACAAACAGTGCCCGAGATGGGAAATGAACGAGCCGGGGGGGATCGGACCCCGAGCCAGGACTGCCCCGGCTGCTGCCCCGCGGGCTCAGCGCCAGCAGGGCCGGGTGCCCCCGTGCTGCCCGGGTCCCCTGGCACGGCACAGCACGGCACGGCACAGAACAGCACAGCACGGCACAGCGAGCAGGGGCAGTGTCCCCCCGATGGCTTCCCCCGAGCAGCGGCTTTCAGGGAGGGCGTGGAATCCAATAGCCGTGTTTTCCCTTACATCATTTTGCCCCAAATGCAACTTTTTCTCTCCATATTGCAGAGCTCACTTGGAGTAATTTGCCCTTCGTAGGCTCAGCTGTAGAGGACGGGATTGTGTATTATGTGCAGGATGTAATTGCCTTTAACAAGAGAATTTCCACATTTACCACTCTGCCACAGCACAGTCAAAGCCAAGCCCTGTTCACAAGAGCTGCCATTTGAGTTCTAAATAGATTTCTCTCCTGAGCAGGTAAAGAGATTTAATTAAAATTAGGGCTTCTCAAAATAGCAATATTTATGAGGACGGCACAGGTTAGCTTTGTTCTACAGAAGGGCTTAATAGAGCCTTAATGGATTGACCTATCATTCGATTTCATGACTTACATTCATGAAGCAGCTACTCTTGGGGAGGGGAGGAAGAGAGGCTTTTATAGCCCACATTCCCTTAAGCGTTTGCAATTTATCAGCAGCTTCTCCCAAACAAAAGGAGCTGTGAATAGGAAGAACACTTGAGGGCATAGAAATAATCCCAGGCATATCTGTATGTGTGATGGGAGTCTTTGTCACAGGACAGTCTTTGCAACTGCTGCAGTGTCTCTAAATGAAGTGAGTCAATGTTATTTGGACAACATTCTTTATTCCTTGCAGGAATGAAAAGATTATTCAAATATTCAATTAAACAGTGAATAGGGTCTTTCAGAGAACCAGGTGAGTTCATCGAGTAGAACTAGCTATTGTTGAGCCAACTCAGGGGATAGATTTGACATTTATCAATATAACTTCTTTTTTTTAATGACATGCACAATAACCTTATGCAGATAAAGAGATTTCATAACAACAACCCGGGTAGCAGGAGACAATAGGAGCAAATGTGCTGTCAGAGTGAAAAGGGAAGGGTGATCTGATCCCCTGCATCTTGGCACAACCTGTGCCCTTTGTGCCTGCCCCCGCAGTGCCCGTGGGCACGGCCCGGGGCTGGGGCTGCCCGGGGGCTCACGGCTTCCATGGCTGGGCTGGGGCTCCCCTCCCTGGGGCTCCTCAATCCCCCCGGCCACACCTCTGCTCCCTGCTCTGACCCCTGGCTGTGCTGCAGCAGCCTTGGGTGCCACCGTCCCTTCAAGGGACCCCAAACTCCCAGCTTGGCCAGACCCAGAGCTCAGATTTCCCCGTTTGCAGCTGCTGAGTGGGAATTTGGCACATCAGGTCTGTGTGCAGCACAGCCAGGGGGGCTGTGAGCGAGGCAAGGCTCCCAAGTACCTCGTCCTGCACAGTGAATCCACTGAATCCCCTTGGCCTGGATGGACCGTGCCAGGGCTCTGGGGTCTCTGCTGGGCAGCTGTGTGGGACCATGGCTCTGTGCAGCTGCAGGTGGTGATGGGGCAGTGCCCAGCACTGGTTCCTAAAGCCACTGAAATCTGTGTGCAGGGACAATTGACCCTGCCTGCCCCTCGGTGCTGCTGCCTGCTGAGCTGTCACTGCCCTGCCGAGCTGTCACTGCCCTGCTGGCACCAAAGCTGGCAGCAGCATTATGGGAAGCTGCTGTGGCCCTGGCCAGGCGTGGAGGATTAGGGTTTCCAGGCTGGTGAGCCTGGTTGCCACATTGGAAAGACCAGGTTTATCAGGGAATTAATTCAGCCGCTTCCTCGACCTTCAGGAATTAAAGAGGGCTGATGGCAGCGGCTCCCAGTGTGTTGGCACAGCTGGCAGCACCTTCTGGCTGTGCAGCTTCCCAGGCAGCGAGGGCAGGGAGACACCAGTCCTGCTGCCAGGGGGTTTGGAATCTGTCTCCAGCATCAGGGAACACCTGGGCAGTGGGGCAGGGATGGAGAGCCCGTGGCTGGGTAGGGATGGGGTGTGGGACCCTCCTGCACTGTTTTCACGCAGAGTGTGGGTCCCTCCTGGCTCACCCAGCACGGTGTGGCACAGAGGGGGCAGAGCTGTGAGTTTGGCACCATTTCACACCCGTGCTCCCCCCTGCAGACGTGAAGTACCTGGAGAACCACACGCTGGCCAAGGACGCGCAGGAGAAGGCCAACGCGGCGCTGCTGGAGTACACGGTGTGCCACTACCCGCACTCGGCCGACAAGTTCCGCCAGCTGCTGCTCTGGCTGGCCGAGGTGCGGGCGCTGAGCCTGCAGGCCGAGGAGTACCTGTACCACAAGCACCTCAGCGGGGAGGTGCCCTGCAACAACCTCCTCATCGAGATGCTGCACGCCAAGCGGACTTGAGCGGCCAGGCAGGAGCCGGCAGCACCGCAGTGCCTCCAGCAGGGGCAGCGGCAGGGGCAGGGGCAGGGGCAGGGCCGGTGCGGGGCTGCAGGAGCCTCCCCCTGCCTGCCCTCCTCAGCCATGCTATGTAACCTCTGCTATTGGAAACGCCCAGCAGGTCCGTGCACAGCAGGGACAGGTGAGGCTGCAGGGCCCTGCCTTGGCACTGCCCCGTTGGCAGGGCTGACCTCAGCCCCACGCACACCTGGTGCCCAAACCTGTCACCTGCCAGCCCGGCCCAGCAGCACCAAGGAAGGGGAAAGCCTGTCCCGGCTTTTCTCCTGTTTCTGCTCCTCCTGCTGCCCCACCAGCTGTTCCTTGACTGCCACCATCCCTCCCCGACCCTGCCCATGTCTCAGGGCCCTCGTGCACAGGGCAGGAGAGAGGGGAGGTGAAACCCTCCAGGCTGGGGTTTTATGGTGGCTGAGGTGTCTCCAGGCACCAGGGAGCACACAGAGGTGCTGGATTTCTGCAGGAATCCACACAGAATGTGGGGCTGGGCTGGAGATGTCAGCCCCATGCAGCAGTGCCAGGACCCCAAGGTGCAGATGCCGGGTCCCAATTGCTGCCAGCTCTGTCCTGAAGCTGCCCTGGCCAGGACAGGGCAGGCAGGGCTGGGCAGTGCTGAACCCTCAGCTGAGGAGCGTTTTCCCAGTGCCTGCTGGTGCTGGAGGCAGCAGCTCAGTGCCAGCCACAGTGCCCAGAGCCCAGAGCTGCCCACGGGCACCACAGCTCAGTCCTGCCCACAGCTGTGGGGGCAGAGCAGCCAGGCTGGAGGGAGGTGCAAGCTCCAGAATGTGCTCAGGACCTTGGGGACACTTGGGGAGCTCTGCAGTGCCCCCCTGCATTTATCTGCTGAGTGAGTGGGTGAGGAGGAATAAGGACTGACCTGCACTTCATGCTGGGCCTCCTGGCCCCCTCCTTTGCTCTGCCGTGTCCCAGGGAGCAGCAAATGCTGTGCCAAAGCCACAGGCAAAGAACTCTCTGTTCCTGCCCCACCGTGGGATTGGGGCTCACAGACAGGACTGGGAGCACTGGGGGTCTCAGCCCCCCAAGCTGGGCCGTGCTGGACTCTCACTGCTGCTTTCTCTCGGTCTCAGCCCCAGCCCTGGGGCTGGCCCAGCCCCTGCCCCACAGCCCCCCAGCCCCCCAGCCCTGGGGCCCTGCAGCATGGCTGGGGCTGTCCGGGGCTGTTCCCAGGGCTGTCCTGTGCCCAGGGGCCACTGCAGCTCTGCAGAGCCGGTGCCTTGAGGAGCCGTTTGTGGAGCTTGTTAGACACAGCAGAAAGAGCATGTTTGTCTCTGCTTTAACACGTTTGTGCATTTTCCTCCTGAAGTCTGTGGTTTGGTTTCACCTTCTTCTTTTTGTGAACTTAACTGGAGAAAATGTTTTGGGAGGTAAAAGACGTTTTATTTTCAGAAAATGAAAAGTGTCCTTAAGTGTCTCTCTCTGTCTCTTATATCCTTTCCTCCCTCTCATCCCTGCCCTTCCCCACTCCCCCCCTTCCTTCCCAGGCAGAAGGTTACCAACTTCCTTGTCAGGAGCAAACCACTGTAATAAATTTTGCAGTTCATTTAAAATGGCAGTTTGTATTTTTTGGCTGTCTTTCTGACCCTTGTGGTTGGTGCTTGGCATGAGGAGGGCTGGGTTTTTGTGGGGGCACTCCTGGGGTGTCACCTGCCTTTGTGGGACTGGGACAGCATGGCTGGTGCAGGGGCTGCTGCTGCCTTTGCTTCTGGGCACTGGGGACCCCAGACTGGTTCAAAGTGCGCCTGGGAATTGCCACAGTGACTCTTAAAGTGTTTGGCAAGTGAATGCAGGAACAGCAACACTTGTGGGCAATTAGTGGGCAGTGCCCTGGTCCTTGCACCATGGCCAAACCCCATCTCTGGGCTCAGCCCCTTCCCTTGGACACAGTGCAACAAGGAGAGGAGGTTGTCTTTAAAATCAGCATTTACTGTTGTCATAATCAGCAAAACCCACCACATTTTCTGTGTTCTAAACACTACAGAGGTAATAGGAGGAGAGGGAAGCAGTGCCCAGCTGGAGAGGGGCCAGGCCAGCTGGGCAGGAACCCAAGCAGGAGCAGGGAGAGGATTTCTGTCCTAAGCAGCAGAAGATGCTGTTGATGTCAGCTGGTTCAGAAAGGGCTTGGAGCCAGCTGCTGGCTTCCCTAGAGCGTGTGCTTCATACCCAGCCTGTCCCAGCTCAGGGTGCTCCCGTCCCCATCACCACGGGAGCGTGGGCACTGCCTGGGCACGGCTGCCCTGGGCAAAGCTGGGCTCTCCCCATCCCACTGCTCCAGCTCCCCCAACAGCAATAATGAGAGTCACAACCCTGCAGGGCCAGTGGTGCCAGCAGGGACAGGGACAGGGACAGGGACAGTGATGGCAGAGCCACATCCCTGCAGTGCCAGTGCTGCCAGCAGGGACAGGGACAGGGACAGGGACAGCAGTGACAGAGCCACAACCCTGCAGGGCCAGTGCTGCCAGCAGAGATGGGGACAGCGGTGGCAGCGCTGCCCAGGCCAACCCTGCCTGCCCTGGCAGGGGCTGCAGGAGCCGTGGGGAGCCCAGAACACAAATACCCACCCTGGGGAGGAGCAGGGCAGTCGTCAGCAGCAGACCAAGCCCCATGGGACCCCACACTGCCCTGGTTTGGCATGTGGGGCTGGGAAGGAGCGCAGGGTGGCAGCTCTGCCCGGGCTGGAAGCTCTCCAAGGGAAGCCAGCTCCTCCAGCCTGCCATCCTTCCTGCTGGAGGACCCTCTGCACTGCAGGCCCATCACCAGAAACTTCTCAGAAACCTAAAGCAAAAGAGAGAAGGTCTCAGCTCTGCTGAGGGCAGGGGTCCCTCCCAGGCCTGGGGGAGAACTGGAGGGACCCCGCAGCCCAAACCTGACATAGGGCAGAGCTGTGGGTGCAGCTGGCATGGGCGGGCACAGCCAACCCTGCCTGCCACCCCAGAGACCCCCTGTCCCTTTGGGGGTCCTTGTGACAGGGAGCCAGCGCAGCCTCCATGCACAGGCCATGGCTGTAGGGAAACCCTTCTCCCCTTCAGCCTGAGCACAGCACCCAGTGCTGGGAGCACGGGACAATGATCTTTAAATGGCATTTAGGGACAAGACCAACTCTGCCATGGCAGGAGCCCCAGTGCCCCAGGGGCTGCATCTCCTCCCCAGGGCACATGAGGGAGTGCCCAGAAAGGGCCCTGGCACCAGGGCTGATCCCACCACGGTCACCCAGCAGGGCTGGCATGGACGGGCTCTGCATTTCTCCCCGTGACACTCAGGGGCTTTTCTGGCTTTGAATCCCAAAGACTCACAGATTCCTCATTATTTCAGTCCCAGCTCATGGAACACAATATGGTGAGAGTTGCAGAATTACTCGGTATCGATCAGTGGAAGGCTGGGCTGCGCACACAGGATCCATGTTGCTATGTGTGGCTTAGCAACATATAAATGTATTCAAACAGAATAATGAAATTATCGTGGGGAAACAAAGCAGCCATCACTTGAGGAGATGGAGGATGTGGAGGCCTCTTGGAGCCCTTGTTTGTCAAGACAAGGAAGAGGGGACTTATTGTTTGTGCAAATATGTGAACGCCCCAGCCATGCCCTGCTCACAAAATGTGAGTAATGAAGGCAGGCAGGGCTGGCTGCACAGAGCAGCTCCCTACAGCTGCCTGCAGCTCATTACTGCAGAGCTGCTCCATGGACTGAGCCCCTGTGGGGGGAGGCCCTGCCTGGCTCTTGCCACAGCCACGCTGCAAAATTCCCCATTTCCCTGGCTCTGGCCTGGCACACACCTGGATTTTATCCACCCTTATCCTCACCCATCCCACCTGCCCATGGACCCACTGTCTGTCCCTCCACTTGAAGCCCTGCAACACCCAGAGTTCTCACTGAGGCCCTGGGGCAGAGAGGGGCTGCTCCCACCCCAGAGCCAGCACAGCTTTCCTGGGACACACAGGTGGAACAGGGAACAAACAGCTTTCCTGTCTCTGCCACAGCTCCTGCTGGCAGCACCATTCCATCAGGTCCCTGGCAGCTTTCAAATAAAGGTATCTGGGGCTAAAGACATCCCTTTTCATTAAACTGTTTGGGAGAGAACAAACAGGAAGGGGACTGTCTGTGCTGGGATGATCTGTCCCCATCCTGCACCCGAGGGCTCCGCAGGGCTTTGCTCTGTGAGCAGAATGGGAAGGCACAGCCTGGCCCAGCCTGGTGTTCCATCGCCCTCTGTGCAGACCTGGGCTTCTAAAAACACACTGAGGGCTCACCTGAGGAAACAAAACCAAACTAAACAACCCACTCTTCGCACAGCTGGAGTTTAATGGCACACGTGGGCTATGAGAGCCACAGCAGAAGGTGAGGGTGGGTGGACAGAGCACAAATGCCCGTGGTGGGTGCAGGTCTTGCTGCCTCTGAGACCCCACAGCCCGAAATGCTGCTGCACAAGGTAATATCCCAATAGCTGCACAGCTACTCCTGGGTGCCACCATTCCTGCCTTTCCCATGAGTTCCCATGTGCCAGTGTGGGGTGGAAAGCTGCCCTGCTGCTGGGTGGCATCATCTCAAAAACAGCCTGAGGCTGCCCTGCTTAGACACTTCATGTGCACAAAATCAGAGACCTGCTAAGGCACTGCTTGCCTTGACAAAAGGAAATGTCACAATGCAGAAGGAACATGGTCACTGCACCCCTGGTGTGTCCTCACTGCACTGTCCACCTGAGGGTCCCTCCCAGGAGCTGCACTGGGAGTACCCAGCAGTGGCTGCTAAAGGAAATAAAGTGAAATATGCTGCATTTGTACTGTGAGGAGCTGGGGACTTGCCCAAAGCCAGGCTGGGGAGCTGAGGAGGCAGCAGGGAGCTGCCACCCAGCAGAGGGCTGGGGCTTAGAGGGATTTCTGGTTTTAATTCTACCCACCTCCACGGTGACATTGGCCTTTCTACAACCCGAAACAGAAGGAGCTCAGTGGCTGCTTTTAAGCTCCTAAATCCAGCCCTGTCTGAATAGCCACCTTCCCCAGCCTCCCTTCTCTGGGTTCGTGGCACTCCCAGGACCCTCCAGTGCTTTCTGCCATGGCTGCTGGTTTAAAACAGCCCAGGCAGAAGGAGCTGCTGCCCCCCAGGCCCTGCCCCAGAGCAGTGGGGCTGGGGGCAGGCAGAGCTCAGCACAGGAGCCTCAGCCCCCTCTGCCCCTGGCCCTGCCTGTGCCCCCAGGATGGGCAGCAAGAAAGGTGCAGAGACACAGGCAGGAACCAGGCAGGTGCCCTGGGATGGGAGCTTTGGCTGAGCCACAGGAGAGGCAGTGCCCTGATCCCAGCTGGGGCTGCACAGCCTGTCCCTCCTCTGCTCAGGGGACACAGAACGCCCACAGCCTGGCAAGGAACCCAGCAGGGCAGTTTGGGAGTAAAATAATCCTGTCCTGGAGGCTGGGCAGGGAGCAGCTGCCCTCCAGCACACAGCCCCAGGAACCAGCACCAACAGCAAAAACTGCAGAGCACGATGGAGGCAAATTTACCTGAGCACTTGAACGCTGTCAGCTCCACGGCCTGGAAGAGGGAGGAGGTGTTAGCACAGGGCATGGCTCTGGTGGCTCTGCTGCTGGGTGCCCCCAGCACAGCCCTGGGGCCAGGCAGGGCTGCCCAGAGCCCACCCACCCCCTGTCCCTGCCCAGGAACCAGAGCCCCCATCCCAGCCCCAGGGACGGGACCAGCAGAGAGTCCCTGACCCAGCTGCCCCTCTCAGGGCTGGGAGCTGACTCCCTGCTCCTCACACCCACTCTGGGCCCCCCTCCAGCCCTGTGGGCACCCACCAGGCTGGATGCCATGCTGGAGAGCACAGGAAAGGCCAGGAAAGGATGAGGGCACCCCTGTGCTGCAGCAGGGAGAGCCCACACAGTCTGAACTCTGTGCTCAAAGGATGGTAGTGCTCTGGGAGATGTGAAATTCCTACTCCCAGTCCAACAACAACAACAAAGACCACCAAACAACATTTAAAAAAGCTGAAACACTAAGAACATCTTGTCTGTGTTTGCATCTCCATTTGCTCAGTGTTTTGTCATTTTAAGTGTTTTCAAACGCCTTTAAGTAGCATCTTCTCTTCATCCAAACTATTGTGCAGCTGCCAGTGACATTCTGA